GGAGGGCTGGGCACAGAGAGGGGGTTCGTCCCCGCAGCGCTCGGCCCCAGGAAGGGCGCCGGCCTTGCACAGGAGCAGCTCCATGCAAACCCAAGTGGCCCCCTGCTGTCTGGTGGGACCTGGGGCGGCTCCGGACCAGAGCGAGGTAACACGTAGCGCCAGGGAGTGTAGCCCAACACTTCTTGGGGTTCCCACTCCCGAGCAGCCTCCTCTACCCCCCCACCCCCACCCCCGAGCTGGGCGAGGGCCGCGCTGGGACCCCAAAGCTCCTGCAGCTCACAGCTTGAGTGGGGAGGGCTGGGGAGGCAGGGGTCGGCCTGGGGGACCCAACCTGGGGGACCCAACGCGGGGGACAGTGCTTAGGGGGGCTGAGGGGAGGCAGAGCTTTGATTTAAAAGCCAAGCCCCTGAGAGGAGCCAGGGTGAGAGAGGGCAAGCGGGGAGGGTGTCCTGGGTGCGGGGAGGGCAGGGTGGGTCTCTGCAAGGCAGGTCTGGGAAGTTTTCAGGCTGAAAGAGAGGGCCGGAGCCCTGGCTGTGTTGCTCAATGGTTAGAGCGTCAGCCATGGTCACCGTTCAATTCCCAGTCGGGGCATGTACCTCGGTTGCAGGTTCAATCCCCCGCCAGGTTGGGGCACATGTGGGAGGCAACCAGTCGATGTGTCCCACATCCATGTTTCTCTCTCTCCACCCCCCCTCCCTTTCACTCTCTCTAAAAATCAGTGGAAAACTATCCTCCAGTGAGGATTAACAAATAAAATGAAAAATAAATAAAAAGTGCCCGGTCCACCTGGCTGTGGTTGAGCATCGACCTATGAACCAGAAGATCACCGATCCCATTCCCGGTCAAGGGCACAGGCCTGGGTTGCGGGCTCCATCCCCAGTGTGGGGCGTGCAGGAGACAGCCGATCCATGATTCTCTCTCATCATTGATGTTTCCATCTCTCTCTCCCCCTCCCTTCCTCTCTGAGATCAATAAAAAGAGAGAGAGAGAGGGGCCTGAGCCCTGGACTCAGGGTGATGACTGGGGACCCAAAGGCAGGCCCATGGACGTGGGCAGCCCCCTCCAGGCCCAGAGACCAGCCCCGCCCCCGCAGCACCCTGCTCCTCCCCCTCCCAGGCCCGCCTCCCTGGCATGGACAGCTGGCCACAGGGAGCCCTCACTGGTTTGAAGCTCCACTACCTCCTTTGTGAAACTCGTGGTAATTTTTGAACCAAGGGCCCCAACTTTCCTTTGCACCAGCCCAGGCTGCAAGTCCGAGCCCGGGATCGTCCCCACACACTCGGACTGGACCCGAGCCAGGGTCCCAGACACCCAGTGACTTGCACCCCAGAACATGCACCTACGCGCTTGTACTGAAGATGCTGGGCCAGAGGTGGGTGGGGATGGGGGCCCGGCTCCCAGGGCAGGGCCTCCGAGGACCAGGGCTGGGCGGTGCAGTGATGGGCAGGGCTCCCACGGGCTCCCCTCCACGCCTTCATCACGCTGGGGCTCAGGCGGGGAGAGGGCGGTGGGGGGTCGGAGTGGGTCTCCACATTGGGCCCAGCACCCCAACGCCCTCAGTTCCATCTCCCTCAGCCAGTACTGTCCCAGCACCCCGACTCCCACCTACCAAACCCTGTGCCCATCACCCCAGGTGAGCAGGTGAGTCTGAGATGAAACTGCAAGACCCAGCCCAGCACCAGGGTCCGTTGGGGTGTGGACACAGGTGGGGGGCTTCCCCGGTGATCTTGTCCCCAAAGCCCAGCCCCTCCCCCACCGCAGCCCCTTCCTGCAGCAGCGGAGGCTCCAGCAGAGCACACTGAGGAGGCAGCATCGGCTGGCACCACCCCAGGCCCAGGCCCAGGCGAAGCCAGGAGGCAGCCAGACCTGTCCCCACTGCCCGGCCAGCGGTGACGTACCTGGGCTTGCCACGGGAAGTCAGGCGGTGAGCGGGGGCCCTGGGGCCGGGCGGGGCGGGCGCGCGGTCAGCAGGCCCAAGGCAGGCGGGCGGGAGCTCTGCGGGAAGACGGGCAGGATGAGGCCGCACCCCGTGCGAGTCACTGGGTGTCAGGGTCCAATCCCCCGCTGGGTTGGGGCACATGTGGGAGGCAACCAGTCAATGTGTCCCACATCCATGTTTCTCTCTCTCTACCCCCCTCCCTTTTATTCTCTCTAAAAATCAGTGGAAAACTACCCTCCAGTGAGGATTAACAAATAAAATGAAAATAAATAAAAAGTGCCCGGCCCACCTGGCTCAGTGGTTGAGCATCGACCTATGAACCAGATCACCGATCCCATTCCCGGTCAAGGGCACAGGCCCAGGTTTCGGGCTCCATCCCCAGAGACCAGGCAGCCCCCAGGAATGCGGAGCAGCCCTCCCCTGGGGA